GTCTAAAATTATTTTATTAGGAGAACGTGTATCCAAAAATGAGTTTGCGAAACACCCGTTAACCAATGATTTTGTCCTAGATGATCGATTTTGGCAAAAACTACATTTACTCATTTGGCATATAACTGATGTTGCCTTAGAACTTTCAAGACCTTGTACAAATGTTGACAGTGCGTAAATAAGTCAGAGCGAGAGCTATATTTCTGAAGCATTTGTGAGTCCAAAGAGCATGACCTTAAACTCGTATAAACGACGTTGTTTCTTAAAAGACTATTTTGTGAATATCTTTCTGAGCCACCAGTATCTGATGATAACCAGCCCTTAAGTATATTTTGGAGAAATATTTGGACCCATGAAGCTCATAATTGGAGGCATAAGAAACTTATCTTTAACTGTCAATTTATTGAGCTGCTTGTTATCAACACAAAATCTTCACAGCAATTCCCCTTGTACAGGAACTGCTGCAACAATTGTTACAGATGCTGTTGTGGCAACATAATCTGTTTGATCTATTTTATTTCTTCTTTTGGTCATTTTCCAATTGAAAGCTGCCAAGTGTAATCTATTGCAATTCTGGCATCATTTTTTAGTACACAGCAGGGCTGAATTCTTCAAGTGCCATATCTCTTTTTGAATAATAGTGCTGCTATGTTGAACTTGGAACTATCCTCAATTATACCGTATTCCATCCTTTTATCGTCCAAATTGAGGGATTGCAACTGCCCCGCTCTCTATTTTTTGTCCACTAGCCACAATTACCATAAGGGATTTAGTTTGGACTATACAATATTTCAATTGCTGTACTAGTCTTTCGCTATAAAGCTACTAGGAGAAAAAAAAAACCTTCCTTTTGATTCTTCCATCAATCCTTGTTGTTTTATATTTGTGAAATGATTGGTGTACAGAATTTTTTTTTTACAGAATGTGTACAAACTTTCACAAAGGTATGGATCCCACATGAATAAATAATGTTAAAAAATTAACCCACCCTCCTCCCCCAGCCCCCATGTGAGGTTTTGGTAAGGGTTCACCCTGTACGCCTATCATCATTCTTTATGTTTCATACTCTCCACTAATGCATGGTTAGAAATTTTCACACTATCATCAGGATCCTCTTAATCTCTGTGGTCCTGTCATATTCTTCCACTTTCTTCCTCTACCAAAATCACATTGATCATTTTATTCTCACACTCGACCTATGGGTTATTTCTCGCCACATTTAATTCATAGCCTAAAACTTTGTTGGTTTCAAAGTATGTGCATCATGGGTTTATAGAGTAATTGGTTTTTCGCATTCTTTGTGGCTGGTTCATGGTTTTTGGAGGTAATACTTGTGGTGGTTATTGTTTTTGGCAGGCTGGATGTGAGGTTGGTGGCCATTTGTTGTTGGGAAGGTTTTTATTGATTTTTGGTATTTGGTTAGGGCTGCGAAGAGGCGCGGATCCAGAAAATTTAGACGCAAGGGCTGAATTTTAAGAAAGTCAATAATGTCGCTGTTATGCTTCATTTTAATTTTTAATGCATTTTTTTTCTTCTTTTCAATAACATATTCTTCAATAAAATAATATTACACATAAACTCAAAACTTTTTCTTCTTTTTAACCACACATTCTTCAAAAAATTATTATTTTAAAATACATTTTTCTTCAAATTCCATTAAAATAGAGCCCAAATAGTGTTAAAATAAATTTATACATAACATTAAAAGTAATTTTCAACAAATTTGTATTTCCAACGAGGTTAGGAACATAAAATTCATCCACAATAAAATATAAATCGATCTTCTCTGCAAATTTTTGTTCTATAAAAAATAAATTAAGTACATTCCATGCCACAAAATAATTGTAAAACTTGGCACACTACACAACTTTAAGATAAATATCATGTTTATTGCTTACACAAATCTACTACATACACGTAATAAGGAGGAGAATGTCAGAATTTTTTTGGTGTGGAAACTATAATTTTTTTTTTCATTAATGGAAATCAAAGAAAATTGCTATACGATGATACCATCAAATTACATTTTATCACATAAACTTGCCACTTCATCGATAATTTTTTTTATATCAATATCAGTCCATACTACTACGATACAGATGTTATAGATAATTCGGATCATCTCTCCCATGATTGTTATAAATTACCCAACTAATAGACTTCTAAACGTAGTTAATCTATTGAAAAATAATTATTTATTCAGCTACATAAATTAATAAAAAAAGGCATATTAATGGAGAGGGACATACAAAATAAAGAAGAAAAAAACCTTAATTTTGAGAAGAAAATGATGTGCAATCCAAGGATGACTAGGAGGCGTTGCTTAGATATGGAGACAGACAGAATGATAGGGAATTTGGGGTGTTTGATTTGGATTTGGGTTTGGGTTTTGGGTATATGAATTGAGCTACGGTGGTTTAAGATCTCCAATTAAGTTTTAATTGTTTTGTTTAGGGTTTTGGCTAATGGAAATAGGAGCTGGTTTGAATTTGCACATGGGCCGATATGAAAAAGAAAATCTAGATTTACCTTGGATCTAGTCTGGAGGCTGGCACGGGCTGTAGCCCTGTCTAGCCCAAGCCCAAATTGCCCCTAGGGCTGTGTGAGAGACTTCTTGAATGGTATCTATTTCAAAGGCTTTGGATAAGTTAGTGGGTTCAATTATTATCACCAGAGAATTCATAAATCATGTATTAACTATGCACAATTCAAAGACCATGTTTTAAGTTTAACTAATGCAAAAATCAGGTTTTCATTTAATTAATTAAATATATTTATTAATTAAATATAATAAAATCACAAATATACAATTAATGGTCACGTTTACACAATTATAGGTCACAGATTTATTCATTGGTCAAATATCATCAAATTAATTGGTCACGAATTATTTTGAGGTCACGAATCAAAGCTTTGATAGGTCACAGATTTTTTCGAAGTCACATATCACAGTTTATCTATCGATTTTATAGGTCACAATTCATGTCATTGGTCACAAATTAAAAATTTTGTAGGTCACAGATAATTTCGAGATCACATATCAAAAATTGTATAGGTTACAGGTCACATATTTTCAAATTTGATGGTCACATATTACTTTTAAATCACAATTGTTCGAATTTTAAGGTCACAGATTACAGTCACGGGACCAAACTGGTCACAGACACCCAATCCCGAGCCACCCTCACTCGGCACCACCACCAATGCCAACAAAATCCCCACTAACTCCCGTTATTGCTGCCACCGCCACCACCACCAACACCAACAAAATCACCCACGACAACCACAGCATCTCCAGTCTCCACTACCCCAACACCGCACAACCACCACGACGATAGCATCAACATTGCTGAACGTACCACACACATTACCAGCAACATCACCACACATACCACCACAGCCAGATCACACAAACTCGCCACTAATCCTATCAAAATATACCGCACCACCACCAACGCCATCAACACCTCACCTGCGACTGTTAACATTTAATGTCCGGCAACAAATCGCAATTGGTCACGATTCTCGCAACAAATCGCCTTTCTATGCTCTGCAAAAATCGGTCGCCATATTCAATATGAAAAGCGGCGACGGCAGCGATTCTCCTTCGGGCGTGAGAAGAGTGTCGCTGCACCACCAGACCGCCTCTTGCCATTTCCTATCTTAAACGTCATCGTGCGAGAGTATAGTGCTGTGTCGCGCGACTCCGCTGCGAGGTGACAATCGGCCTGCCGGCGCCGCCACCATTGTTGAGAGAGGAAAGAAAAGGGAAAATAGATCATTTGCCCCATTATCTCCTGCGGCGGTCGCCTCCTCGACAGCGACAGCAGTGAAGGCAGAGAGAGATGAGAGAGAGGGAAGAAAATTGGGGATATGTTTAAGGTTTTTAATTGGGGATAGATTAATTATATAGAAAACCTGATTTTTGCACAGGTAATCTTCAACCTTGGATTTAGAATTTGGAAGTTTAAACACCTGTAGGGGTGTAATTTTCCCTTTTTTTTATTTCCTCGAGTCCACTACAACTGTAGACACATAGTAACTTTTAGGGAGAAGAGGATGGTGTGCATCCCCTGCAATTTCAGTTCTTCAAACTTGATAGACCGCTATGGATCCCCTATATTTAATTTTGCAGAATTGTTCCATGACAATGGGGATGAGCTCCATCGTCGACAGAGAAATAGTCCAAAACACCAAATAACATCTCTAAATGATTGCTCAATGAAAAATGAGGTACGGTGCAGAATAGCCAAGAGATTTGCCTAGACGCAACCAGAATGTGTAATAGCTCACCAATCGAACGTTCTTTGCGCCAAAGATGAACAGGGCCAAACCTCTCATCCTAGTTGTGTCAAGGAAGCGTGACCCACAAACCTCAACTTCGACAACACCGTGTCATCCCCTTGTAATCTTCACATGGAAAATGCAAGCCTCACTCCTCTGTTGGATCCACTATTATGTCATGCAAGAAAGGCGAACTTTAATGGGTGAGGACCATCAAGCGAGTCATTGTGCCTTTGGAAACCAATCTGTGTTTCAGAATAATAACACTATATGCGTATCATAAGAAAATATTTTCTATTTAAAAAAATAAAACGAAACTACCTTATAAACTCCTAAATATCCACACTAAATTATCAAAAAAGATATAAAGGAATCATCTCTACCAGGTAATTTAGTTTTGAGGAAAATCGTTATCATAGACTATATGTGCTAATTAATGGACGATTGAAAATAAGAATGCATTACAAAAATATCAAGGACTATACCAAAATGAATAAAGATTGAAGAGATTAAGTACAATTAAAAAATCTTTTGTGTGAGGCATTTAACACAGTTTCAGTCCATCAAGGACCGAGGCGCCCAAGAAACTATAGGTTGGAGACTTGAAATGCGAAATTAATTAGAACGAGGACCTATTTTCCATTTAATGAATAGGTTGGGGACTAGTGCTGCCATTTATCCGCGAAATTAACTTTTGAAGCTTAGCCAAACTCGCTTACTTGTCTTTCGTCAAGGACAATCCCAGTCACCGTCCGATCACCACGGCCCCAAAGGCAACCGGGATGGCTCACACAATTTCTCCTTCCGCGGCGACCCTAGCATATCTCCACCGTACCCCGCCGTCCTCTCATTTATCTCACTCTATACTATGCAATGAGCAACATATTTGAGTTGATTTAATTAACCATTCTTCTTGCTGTCTCGAATTTTTAGGTCGGAAATTTACACGGGGAAAGTTATTTCCGGGTCGCTCTTGTAAGAATTCATCGGGTTCATTGCTTCCTTCTGCTAGGCGTCGATTCTATTTTGTTGCTTCGGCCACAAATGAAAGGTACAGGGGCGTTATGGAAATTTCTGAAAGTGAAGCTCGGCCTCCCATTTATGCGTGGCCTGATCATAACAAGGTAACAGATTTTTGGCCTGTTTGTGCCTTTTTGTGTTCCTGCTCCATTTTATCTTTGCGAATAATAAAGTTATGAAATTTACAGTTCAAGAAAATGTTTCAGTTCAAGTACATAATGTACGAATTAGTGATTGATTTGAATCAGATTTCGGATCAATCTATATTGATTGACTGGCTCCATTATGTTGTTGCTGGCCTAAAGCAGTAGTTCATTTTTTTTGTACACAGTGGATTGATTATTTTTCTTGTTGGAAAGACGTGGACAGTCCTCAATGGTTTCTAGTATATAGTTGTAGACAATCAAGAAATTGAGTGCTCAATTAGAGAGTTTATGCACAAGGGAAATTTATCAAGGCTCAAGTAGACGGCATTCAAGCGTAAATGGGTTGCCCCCTTAGGTACAAAGAGTAGATGGCATTCAGCTGTTTGTAAAGCACTGAGATGTAGTTTAGGAAGATGACTGTTATATAGGTGAATCAGTTTTAAGTTCATCCACCTTTATTAAGGTTTATCAACCAATTTAGAGAATTAACTGCTTGATCAAACAAGTCTTTCCATATTTCAATATGTCATGCAGCATCGAAATCTGAGGCTCCATTTCAATCCTATAATGTAATGTGGAAAGAAAGATACAGTTTCGGTACACTTGTGGTGGTGTTACAAGGTGATATTAGAGACGGGGAGGCCATCATAGAATTAGATATATTTATTTTACTACCGATTCTTAAGGATGGCTTTTGTTGGTCTTGCTCCGAAGGGAGGACCTGCTAGAGCATAAGAAGCTTGCTTTATGGATAAGAAATCCTAATATTCTCTACTACAGTACTCGGTTTGTCATCTATAGCACGACAGTTCTTCCCGAGTGTATACTTTGATCAATCCCAGCTCAATAAGTTTGCGCCAATGCGAAGTTATTTTAAATGCAATAAGCAATACAAAATAATGCAGCTCATTTCATGGTCTATAATGAAAATAGAATTATTGGTCGCAGAGTATCATGTATGGACTTTTATCATATTTTCTTTTATGTTTGGTCTTTTTGTGATTCGAAAGAATCGTTGTATGCCCCCGAAGATAGATTATTACGAGCCATACTTGGTATTAAGGTATCTATTTCAAAAGAAACTTTGTATTATTAAACGACCTGGTGTTGAAGTAAGCTTTCCGCATAAACTTCTTTACCTTTTTGGTTTTGTAACAACAAATTTCATGTTCACAGAGACCAAGAATTTGCATACTAGGTGGCGGATTTGGAGGTCTGTACACTGCACTAAGATTGGAATCACTTGTTTGGCCTGATGACAAGAAACCCCAGGTAAATTGCGTTAAAGATGGTTTTATCGTTTATTATCTAAGTAAATCTTGGTCAACCATGCTGGTTCTCTTAATATGCTTATATTTAATGTATTTGTGAGTGTTATACATACATAATACAAATACACATTAAGGTAGAGTATATCTTCCTTTGATCTGCATTTACATTTTTTCCCTCAAATGAAGGAAGCTACTTTCTTGTTAAGGCAGTAAATTTGGTGTTGCCTTAGTTCTATGCACCACAAGAGCCATAAAAGCTTAGTAAAATACAACAGCTGAGCGCTATTGCAAGTTCATTCATCATGGGATCATCTTTATATGCTTCAAATGGTAGCTTATTGAACTTATGTCAGTTTTGCATGTCGTGATGTGACTAAAAGTAACCTTAATTTCTGCTGCCTGCATATCATAAGCTCAAAATACTTTCAGTGTTAAACTGTAATATTCTGTAGTACGTATTCTCACCAGTTTAATATTGAACATTTCCTGGACTAGACGACTTGTTTCCAATCTTCTGAGTTATTATTAAATGCTCTCTCATATTTTATCGAAACAACTTCTATTACCCTTAGAACCTATCCTGAAAGAGAATTCTATTTATGTTCTCTTAGTGATAACTCCGTCTCATAGGAAAAGATGTGGATAATACACGCTAATTCAAATATTTACTGTAAAAGTTGAAAAATTTGTGGCTGACGGTAGATATTAGGGATTCGAATGTTAATTTTAGGATATGGATGTAGTTTGTTCTTGATAATTATCTAGTTGTTGATAAGTTCTTTTTTCATGTTATTTCCACTTGATTAAATTGATATTTCTAATAACTTGCAAAATGATATTTTGTCCTCCCGTGTAATAGAACATTGGGTTCGTGCCTGCCTACATAATACACTTTGGGCTAGCAGCTGCAAGTCTAATTTTAACAGGTTCTCAGTTGACAAAAATATCGCGTAAGACGAGAATGTGTTTTTCCAATTTAATTGTAATTTGTAATTTCAAAGTTCAAAGCAGTTATATTGCACCAAGCATGCCAGCCCTCTTCTTGTCACCCACCCCTTGTGGGGGAGTGAGAGGTAAAGCAAACAAAGAAATTATTTTATTGGATTTCAATATTCCCAGTGATACAATGTACACGGTGAAATGGAAAAAAATGCTCAACATATTATCTGGAATAAAAATGAAAAAGGAACAACTAAATATTGGAAACGTTGGCGTTTCATTTTGACAACACCTTACTACTATAGCTTCTGAGTCGTGTGGAAATGGAAATTCAAATATTAACTACATGACTGACAGACAGATGTAATTGTGAATGATATTATTATTCACCCACATTTTTGACATCTTTGAAGTGTAACTTAGAAAATGCAGCTTTTATTGTTGATGAAACAGGTGGTTCTTGTTGACCAATCTGAGCACTTTGTATTTAAGCCATTGTTATATGAGCTCCTCTCTGGAGGTATGTTGTTAATTTGATTGGACAGGGAGACCATTCCTGTCCTTTTAATCAATATTTAATTCATTTTCTTCATGTATCACTGTATTTTTTTTAAGTGCAGAAGTAGATGAATGGGAAATAGCTCCGCGCTTCTCAGACTTGCTTGGAAACACCAGCGTGCAATTTTTCAGAGACAGGGTAAAATGCTTATATCCCTCGGACCATTTAGGAATGAATGGGGCTACAGTAACTGGGTCTGGAGGCGTGGTTCATTTGGAGAGTGGTCTCCTTATTGAATATGATTGGTATACCTTTATTCTGATTACTTGAGTTCATACTATTTCCTATGAACATGGATTTACATGTGAATTTTGATGAGAGAAACTTTCTATTCTTGTTTCAATCATTTTGTTCTGTTACCAGCCTAAGTTGTTGCTCTCAACATCCATCAAGGAAATTTAGGTAAATGCTTACTCAGATGTGGAACCCTTACGCCAAAGTAGAAAAGGGAATAGAGGATTAAAGAGAGCCCTATATGTCAAGCTTTTCACATTTGCATGTTAATAATGCTTCCATATTTTTAGGTGCATTTCACATTCTTTTGGTGCTTTTATTATGTTTTTGATACTTCTACACCGCAGATGTCCAGGGCAAAATAACGTCTTAACTTCTCATAACGTAAATGAAATTCTATGATGGCTAGAGGATTTGACTTTTGCTCCTCTAATATGTTTATCTTGATGAATATAAATAGAGCAGTTCTTGCACTCTGAAATGGTTTCCATTGATTTTTTACCCCTTTAACGTGGGCAGCCAGGTTGGTACTTGCACTTGGAGCTGAAGCAAAACTTGATCTTGTGCCAGGTGCCGTGGAATATGCATTACCATTTTCTACCCTTGAGGATGCTCATGTTAGTATTTGAACAGGGGACGCTCATATTATGTCAACATTACTTCTGGTAAATTTGAGCAGTAATGTCAATCATGATAACTGTCTCTATATGTTGATACCATGTAATGCAGAAAGTTAATGAGAAGCTAAGAGCATTGGAGCGTACGTACTTTGGCAAGGACTATCCAATTCGTGTTGCTGTTGTAGGATGTGGTTACTCTGGAGTTGAGTTGGCTGCCACAATATCAGAAAGACTGCAGGATGGGGGAGTTGTAAAGGCAATTAATGTTGGAAAAGAAATCTTGCCAAATGCTCCACCTGGCAACAGGGAATCTGCATTAAAAGTAAGACGTGATATTTATAATTACTCAATTTCAAATAAAATGTTGCTTTTATGCAACAATGGAACCTTCGTGACCAAGATTTAAGCTTTTGCTTCCATTTTGAGACAGATTTATTCTTCCTTGTTTTCCCGAGACACCTATCTGTTGCATCCTTTTTATTGGCAGGTTCTTTCGTCTCGGAATGTTCAACTATTACCAGGTTATGTTGTCCGTCGGATAAGAAAGGGTGGTGGGTTTGGAACTTCTCATGAGCTCACGAAAGTTGAAGCTCTTTATGATGCAACAGAAATTCGTACTCCTGAAAGTCTAGTACTGGAGCTGCAGCCTGCTGAAAGGGGTTTGCAAAGTCAAATTGTGGAAGTAGATTTAGTTTTATGGACTGTTGGGACTAAACCTCAACTTCCTCTATTAGAACATAATGATAATCCCAACATGCTTCCTCTTAATGTTAGGGGCCAAGTAGAAACAGATGAAACACTTCGTGTTAAGGGTCACCCGCGTGTATTTGCAGTCGGTGACTCTTGTGCTTTGAGAGGCAAGCATGGAAATTTGCTTCCAGCCACTGCACAGGTACCAATTAATATTTTATTATCAAGTGCATTTCTGAAGAGGAAGGAAGATTCCATCTATTCTGCTTAGTATGTTTACGGTAATTTCTCTAAGCTGGTTAATCCTGAGCTTCTGTTCGTTTTCTTCTCAGGTAGCATTACAGCAGGCAGATTTTGTTGGTTGGAATCTGTGGGCAGCAATAAATGGCAGGCCTCTGCTGCCATTTAGGTAAGATCTGGACTACAATGAAAGATTTTTGATCTTTTACATGGTCTTTATTTTTGTTAATAATATTTTTTTTTAGGGTTTGTGTGCTGTTAAGAAATACGAACTTAATTCTCTGCATAGAAATAAACACCTTTAGTACTTTATCACTGGAGAAATGGATAGGTGGAAAGGACAGAAGGTTGCATGTTCTCTAGAAAAAAAAAGCATGTATATAGTGAAAACATTTCGCTCTCCATTGAAAATCAATCAAAGCTCTCCCACTATGTACAACATTGATGACACAGGAAAAATTTGTTATAATGCCATATTTACCGCTGTGGGAAACATTTTGCACGTGTTCTTAAGCGGAGTTTAATTCCTGCAGGTTTCAGAATGTAGGTGAGATGATGACTCTTGGGAGGTATGATGGTGCTGTTTCACCAAGTTTCCTCGAGGGGATAACTTTGGAGGGTCCCATTGGCCATTCAGGTAGAGTGATCCTTGCCATATTCTATAGAAGAAATTGAAAACATTTGTCCCCTGCCAATTTTCCATTGAAGGCTCGTGAAGCTATGTTTTCAGAGTAAAATGGCTGAACACATTTAACAAGAAAAAGAAGAAAAACATAGCTTTAACAAGAAATGTCTAAAAGAGGGAAAGACCATACAAAGAGGAAAATATAAAACTGTATCCCGCCCTCCTCCCTCAAGGCCCACCCCTCCCCCTTTCCCCTTTGGCCCCGGCCAGTCATGCCCACTGTTTTTACTACACTGCACTACATCCCACCTCACCCCCTAGCCGTGCTTTCTTTTTCCCTTTCCTTTATCTTCACCTTTTGTTTCCCTTTTTCTGATTATCTAATTATATTCATATTTTTTCGTTTGAAGTATAATTATCTTTTGGACCAAATGCTATTTTGTCGGCAAATTGGATGGATAACCGTCCACTGGTGCTGAAAAAGTCGAGGAATCAAATTGTTCAGACTGAAGTGCATGTTTGGAAAATTAAGCTAGTTAAACATACTATTTCTGCACTTTCTGTAGGACCCACACCTACTATTCCACTTTTATACCCACCACATATAATCACACTCAAATTTGCTATAAAGGTTGAGAACCAACTCGCTACATAGGTTGAGGAGTAATATTGCTGTTTTTCCTATGATATTTCATTTGATTTTGTGATCCCATACTGCAGTTAGGAAATTTGCATGCTTAACAAGATTTCCAACAGACGAGCACCGGTTGAAAGTAGGGTTCAGTTGGCTAACAAAGTCTGCAGTAGAGACTGCTGCCTTTGTCCAAAATACCTTCACCAAGTACTTACAGAATTTGAGATGATGAAAATGTCAACTATGTTTATCATGTCCAAGTAGAAATAGAACTAGTTATAATGCCTTGAATTTTTTGACTTTTGTTTATTAGCAGATGCAAACAATCTTGTCGACAATGTCCTCACAAGATAAAGCAAGAAATCATTGCATGTTATGAATTTACTGTAAATGACAGCCTCTTGTCTTCCTTGTGTGGAATTCGTCCTTTACTAGAAAATAATCACAAACACTTTAGTGCTTTTATTCGATATGTCGCAATTTTCTTATGCCCATAAAGAAAAATTAAGTGATTATGATGCTATAAACCAGATAAAAGTAAGGTAAAATTGTTTTGTTTGTGAAAATAAAATTAGTGAATAAATATAAATGGCGTTGTGTAAAAAATTTACTCTTGGAATTTCTTCCAAATGCTCTTTAAAATAAGGAGCGTTATTAGAGAAGTGCTTGTATCCATTAAAAGACGTAAGAATAATTCTATTGGTACACCAAATTGTTAATTCCCTTTCACATGCATGTGGGACGCGTGAATAAAAAATTCAAAAATATGGTCCTCATTCCTTATTGTGAGTAGTTGGTTAGGGATTAGGTAAAAAAATTGGGTACATGTAATATGGTCCAAGATGTAATTAAAGTTTTCAAAGAAACAGTTCGGTTTTATGTCTGAATCGTACTTTCACTTATTTATAATTTCTCCATATGTCACAATGTGTGAATAAAAAATTAAAAGAATGATCCTAATATCAATATGGGGTGGTGGCGCAGTTGGCTAGCGCGTAGGTCTCATAGCTTCTTTGAGTCATCCTGAGGTCGAGAGTTCGAGCTTCTCTCACCCCATATATTTTTCAATTCATCATGAATGGTTTTTTTCACCCTATTTTTGGTATATTTAGGGAGCTTCACCAACCAACAATTGGAATATCTTTGAAGAGGATAAGTACCCCACATGGGTTTTGTCTAAATGATTGAGAACATAACACTGATATGTCCCATAAAAGGTAGGCTGTAGGCTAAAAGGCAAAACCAATAGCAAGAAATCTGAATATTTTGTACATACAAGAAAACTTGTGTTTTGCCTGCCAGGATTCTGAATTTCATTCTATTATCTCTTTTCTGGAATTTCAGAACAGAAATCAGAAGGTTTGACATCTGATCTAAACGCTCAATTCTTACTCCAACATAATCCATTAATAACAGCTGAAGCTTCGGAATATAATGCAATTTCAACGGGTCTGCACCAGCTATAAGATTGCTTTCAAAGGAGCTCTACTGACATCTATTAGTCTATCAGGAAATCATCCAATGTCGCAAGAGATTTTAGCTGCCAACTGAGAGAAGCAATTGTCTTTTGACACTCAGTGAATTTACTAGTAGCCACTGCCAATTCTTTATCCTGTAGAAACCAATTGCGATCAAGGGATCAGCGAGACAGAATCAGATAATGCAGAATTTTCACAACTTTTACCAAACTAAAGATATGATTAATGGAATAAGGAAAACACAGAAAATTACTTTCATGTAAGAATCCTTTGGTCTTGGAACAAAAAAGTTGACGTAAGTTCTTTAAGAGTCAACAATGATATAAGCTAAATTACACCTGACTGTTACAAGTTTGATGATTGAACTTTTAAAACAAATAAAACAATGTTAAGTACACATGATTGATAGCATGATTTGCTAAGCTAAAAAATTTACTTATAAGCAAGCAAGTTTTCAAATAAATAATTTTTTTTTACTGGTCAAAATTAGGAATATGTAAGTTGCTCATTTTGATGGTAAACTGTCAAATTACGGATGAATATATTTGAGGCCTTCTGTCAAATATAAGACCACTGCATTGCATATGCATAAACAAATATGAACTTAAACCAACAAAGTTAACAGCAACTAACCTGATTGATTCTGAACTCTTCAACGACAGCAGATCTCTGAAGCTGAGAATCCAGTTTCATCCTTGAAATCTCTTTTTCTAATGTCTGACACCTTGAAACAGATTCCCCGGAAACACTTTGTTCTTTTTGAACCTCTTCTTCTAACGTACCAATGCTCGAATACAAGGTTTCCAACTCAAGTTCCAGATCTTTGACTTGTAACTCAGCTTCTTGTTTCTTCATATTGCTAGTTTTAAGTTCGGACTCGACCCCACACACTTCCTCATTTGCAACTATTAACCGATTTTGAAGTTTGACCAGATTGACCTTGGCTTCTTCTAAATTCTTTTTTGATTTGGTGAGCTTTTCATTGGCAGCCTCGACTTGTAGCTCAGCCCCACTCTTTGCTTCATTTACCATAGCAAGCAGAGTTTCCAGGTCCACCATCTTCAACTTTGTCTCCTTTAGTTGAGCTTGCAACGTCTTAAGTTGTTTTTGGCATTCCACTAGAGCCATCCCCAAATTTATTTTCTCTGCTTCCACCTTCTCCAACTTTTCTTCGAGTTCAGCTGTCCAAGTAATCATGGTGTCCAGTTCAGCTTTTAAAGGTTGTTCCCCGCCCTGGGCTCCTGTTTCAGGGCAGCTTCCACACTGTGTCTCAGGTAAGGCTGCAAGCCTCTCCATTTCAAGAAAATCATCCATGAGATCAATCTCAACAGAAGAAACAACATGATTTCTTCCCAGAGGTCTTTCATTTTTAAATTGATCTCTCTGTGCCACTAAAACTCGAGATTCAGGGTGGCAAAACCTGCTGTTGACTGGTTTCAATCCTTTTATCTTGCAATTTTCAATAACCAATAGCGTATCTCCTCTATCAGCCTGACTATCTGCAAAAGATTCTACATGAACTGTTGACGAAGTAACAGAATAGAGATCATTTGCAGGTGATGCTTTGCGAGCCACTGCCTTTAGCCTGCAACACTCTGCCTCAAGCTTCGCTGTCCTTTTTATGCTGTCAAGATGCTGTTTACTAGCAGTTTCCGCAGCACAAGTGCTTAAATCCCTCTCACGAGTCATCCGTTTCAGTTCTTCGGCTTGGGAGTGGAGCTCGCACTTAAGGATTGTGTTCTCTTTCTCCATGGTTTCAAGCTTAACAACATCTGCCCTCGTACTTTGAAGCTGAGAATGGAGTTCGGCAAGTTGGTTTTCAAGTTCCGACTTTGTTGATTCCCATTCACAACTTCTCTGGGAAACACCATCATAAATCTTTTGTTCTTGCTCTTCTCTTGCCTGTCGAAGTTGTCTCAAACACTCCTTAAGGGCACCATCAAGCTGCTCAACACGTTCTTCAAGGACCGAGTTTTTCTGAGTTAAAGCCTCAGTTTGTTTCTTCAGAACTAACACTTCATTTTCAGCTCTCTCCCATCCTAGTATTTAAGTTCAAATGAATATCAAAATTAAATATAGACAAAGAATAGCCTCATCTGTAAAAATTGATGTGGTTTGATCTACATAAGGCCCTGAAATGCATCATGGTAGAGAAAATCTGGTATTCCAAATAGTTTGATTTTGTATAAAAGTAAAATTTCCCACTTGGTAAACATGTAAGAAAATACGCAGGAGAAGAAAAGGCAAATATGGAAATCTAAGAATAACATACCCAAGGGGAGAGAGTACAGTGTGAAAAACTACCCTCCCACCAATTAAGTAGCCCTTGTTTGTCTCCCTTGAAAACAAAACTCTTTATTCTCATACTCATTTCCACAAATTCACATAATAAAATATTTTGTAAACAAACCCCAAAGTTTTTTCCTACTTTTTAACTACACATTGTCAAAAAAGTCACTATTCTAAACATCATTTTTTCAAAATAATGGCCATCAAACAGGGGCTTAGTAATGTGTCCCTTTGAGGATGATAAAACTCATAAAATACAATTCTCACTTTATAGGATCACAAGTTGTTGAGAATAATTAGAAGATTTATTAACAAGTTGCCATCCATATATGGTTCGACATGCTCACACACACAGAGAGTGAGCTAATACCCGAGACAGCTTCCTCCGCAACTTTTTCATGCTGCTTTACCAAGTCCTCCTTGGCACGAATGTTTAGAAGAGCTTCTGATAATTTCTCGGATAAAGTCTTCACATTTTCAATAAGTTCTTCATCGCTGGATGCGGCTTTGGATGTGACTTCTGGTGAGTGAGTATTTTGATTTGATGAGGCCTTTTACAATACGAAAGATCATCGATTGTCAAAAATCCTCATCTCTTCTCCCAATTATCACTTTTTTTTATAACTTCTAAATTTTATTTTATTTTGGTACAAGTCTTTGAAGAGAGGGAGAGGAAGTTACAAAGTAAGACTATAAACCATACACCACACACCATGCATGATGGATGTGCAAACTAGCTTGCTCGTGTGCGTGTCTGCGTGCGTGCGTGCGTGCGTGCGTGTGTGCAGAGAGAGAGAGAGTAGATCAATTAATGTAATGAATTCATTTCATAATGACAAGCAATTAAGATAAAGCCATATTAATAGTTCAACAACGATATTTTCAAGTAAAATTAGCTATAAATACAGATAAGTTACTCCAAAAATTTTCACTCTTTTTTATTCGCTGCTTTGTATGGCATTATTTCACCAATCATTCAAGGTGGAACTGGTAACTTACTTATTTCAACTTGCTGTTCTAATTCAGTTTCTATCTCAAACAGCGTTGAGTGGACATTCCAAGAAATTCCACCATTCAGATCATTGGAGGCTTATGCACATGACTACTAAAAAAGCCTTTTCATTAAGTCTTCACAGCAAGAACCAAAATAATTAGAGGAAAATAGACACGCTATTAAATTTCTATTTTAGAATCACTAAGTTGATGACAACTAGCGAGTTGAATAATGGAGCCAGGTTATGAAGTTTCGTTTCTATTTGACAGAAAAAAACCCTTTTGAGTTCATACATTGTTTCAGACACAGACACATATCCCTCACATTATGGTGAAAAAGTTCAAAACCTCACAGTGTTAATAATTGAAGGCAGATGTCAATGGTGGTAGCTGGACAGGATGCTTTCCAGAGAAATAAAGCAAGAGGCTGTCTGCAGTGGTCCAACTACAGTAAATATCTAAACAAAGTGGTCCATTTTATCCATTGATAAGCCACTAAGTATGTAAGTAGAATGCCTGTCATCAATCCAGATAAAATGACTTTCTACGGCAAACAAGACTCACGAGCTTAAAAATATATCATTCTGAATTCCAATTAAGAATGCAACACTAATGGGCATGTTTGGTAAGATAGATTAAGGGAGAAATAAAAAGAAGCTAAAATCTCGTCCTTTGTTGTATCCAATCTGTGCTCTCGGGCATCAAACAAATTTCATTTAGTCAAGCCTTCTTGAGAGTCATTGGCCAAAGCCCTCCCACTTCTTTTAGAAACAGCCATAGCCATCTATTTTATTTAATATATATATAAATGATAAATCCGCATCTTGTTACAAGATCAATTTCCAGAATTCTTATTTATTGATATTCTTCTGGCTCCCAAGAGAATAGGGAACATGCAAAAACTTGTTGCTTCATGTTCTCAAAAATTTGAAAAAACACACTTTAGACAATTTTTCAGTCAATTAAGTTTCTCATGGTCCGATTACTCAGGTAAAGCTCGGATACCTGAGTAACCAAAAAAAAAAAAATATATATATATATATATATATAGGCTTTGAGTTCCTATTACCGCCGGGGCGGTGTCCTCCCATGACTTTGGAATGCCGGGCAGGGGAAGCCCCATGAGGTTGGTAACAGTATACCCTCGTCAGAAGTTCTATTAGCTGAGATTGCCTAACATTTCGAAATGACAAAGTTGAGAAAGACCGTCCATGTCTATTACCCATGATTCAAAATTTCCTTGCCAAGCTACATGCCCAAGAAACTGCAAGCCTTAACTATACCTTCTCCTTTAAATTCCTTGAGAAGGGAATGTTGCCAGTTAAAACAATGACCAAAGATGAAGAGAATACAGAAGATAACCCTCAGAAAACATAAACTTGCATATATAAATTGGAAAGGTGTGCTCAATCTGAGTATTCAATTAAGTATACATTATTCAACTTAGTAAAAAGTAACATATATGTTGAACAAATTGGCCAAAATTCAGAAATTAAGACAGTCAAAAATCAGGAGGCAAATAATGGAAGTATTTACAAGATAAAGCTGAAACAAGCAAACCTGATCATCAAAAAATCTTTCTGAATGTGATGATATTGATCCTGAGCTTTCTGTTTCACCATTGGGACTTTTCTCAGACGACTTCCGGTGCCAAAGCCAACTCCTCCGGTCCATCTAATGGACACATCAATAATCATGCATTTCTTACACTCACTTCATCTGTATATTCAACCTCAGTTCAGCAATTACAAATAAATCAATAACAATGGATTTTTGGGAATGCACAAAAGCCTAAACACATAATCCTAACTCATCATAGTTTTGAACAACCCATCTAATATGCTAACATGTCAACATGTAAATCAAACCCAAATATAAAATCATGACAAAAACCCAAATTCAAATCAAACTTCTAGAAAAAAGGTTCCAAAAATTATTATTATTTTTTCTCAACAAGATCAACTATCAATTTAAGACAATGAGAAGGGGAGAATCTATGGTAAAACATCAATCTTTGCTTAGAATTCAATCCTCTGCCAACCAATTCTCAATAAACAGTTGGAACTTTTTTAAGCCCCCAAATGAAAGCGAATTCATTTCGGAAAGGAGAAACTACGTACAACTAATCTGATGGGCACCTTTGAATTCCCCATAACTATGAGACAGAGAGAGGGAGAGAAAAAGAGGAGTCCACATTTTCTCCGTGAAATTTTTAGAATTATACACTCTAATTAATAAAAGGTGAAAAATATCTCAAAAAAAGCCTAAAATGTAACCATGACCTACTTGTGCTATATCTTCCAAAACCCACCAAAAAAAATAAAAAAATGCAACTATAAAAAAACCATAATTCTTCTCTCTTTCACATGCATGTTTTGTCGTGCTTAAGCCGTCACCAATACCACCGAAGATCTTACAGCGGTAAAAATCTGTGTCAGCAGAATAGTAGACAACAGAAGGAATAGAAGCAGAGGAATAGTAAGAAGACCAGTTCAAATTCTTATAAATTTATATATACAATTTTTTTTATTATTATTTTTTTTTTGACAGGAAACCGCAAATGCTACTTCGAGTATGCTCTAGGTGAACTCTGGGGCTGATAGAATAGCTTGCAAATCACACCAACAAAGTAAATTGCACCATCCTTAACAAGTAGTGTAGTGCAATAGTCCTATGACATTATAATATAGAGTAATCATCTTCATTCATCTTTCGGCGTCTAGTGAAGACAAAGACAGACACAAAACATTGGTTCAATTATTTTACGGGGCTTGTTCAATAATCTATATGCGGTAGATTTGCAAAGAAAAGTTCCATAAAAGGTATGCTAAATCATAAAAGTGTCAAAAAATTAATTAAACCTCTTCACCCTTACTTAGAATCTGCTGGTACGAGTTTGATGACATGAATCAGTGCGGGATACAATTAATTAATATCGTATTAGAAGGATGAAAACCACAACATCCTACATTTTTTGCTGGTCGGCTCATATGTTGGCAAGGAAATTAAGTACTCGACCTCTCACTTGCGGTTTATTACCAGATTTGCTTATGTGAAAGGGACAATCGATTTCAATTCAAGGGTTGAAACCCTAATATTGAGGGTCCCCACGGTCCCACCTCTAGAATTTTGTGAAAGAGGTAAATCGCGGGATGTATCCCAACAGATCAGGGAACAAGAGATGTTTGTATATTGCGCCTACAAGGAGTTTAATTTCATGTTTCAAGAATCGAACTCCCACACTGCAGCTGCCAACAAGGCGTGAAATAACCTCATTTTTGTCATTTGCACCACTGAACTATGCCCCGAGAGGCCAATCGATTTCAATTCTATATTATAGAATAAGGCTAGTAGTGTTTTGCACGTCTCTTATTTTAAATGGGGCAATTAAACGATTTTTAATAATGAGTTTTTAGTCAATTTTGAGTGACTTTTTTTAAGTGGATCCAATGTCCAATTTATGGCATTTATTAGGTGGTATTTAATCATTTTCACGGTCCCTCAAAAAACCCTTTTTCGAGAGGAGTTCAGAACGATAAAATATAATAAGTTAAACAAAATTATCCACGTTAAAAACTTTCGACGGCTCTTTGAATACGTGGGAATGAATAACCGAGGTAAAAGAATATGTTATTTCTCATTTTCAGTCTAGAATTAATGAAAGAATGTCTATAAGGAGGCTATTGGTTCTGAATTATATCATTTCAAAAGCACAGGCTTCCTCAAATGAACCCACATTTTTTTTTTCTTTTCGATTTTTCCATTACAAAAGGTGTTTTCGTAACAAAAAAACATGCTACTTCAGAATAGAATCCGCTTCCTTAATCTGTAAATTGTGTACAACTCTTCTAAGTACACCCTAGGCTAGTCACAACCTTGCAAAGGGTGCATTGGGTGACATGGACCTAGGGGTGTGACTAGCCCTATTTGGAAACTAGAAGAGTAATAGACCATTGCAATACGGTATGATCTATACCGAGATTTTGAAATTACACTGTAACAATCTAGGTTGATCTGTGTCAAAAGATGTTATAATTTAGAAAAGACACTAAAAATCCAATTAATAGGAACCGCTCATTTGATTCAAGCATTCCGAAACAATTGATTTATAAACCCTTATCTCTCTTCAATGTTGTCCGAATAATTTTTTGAGCTTTCAAGTTTGTTGTACTATGGTCGAAAATAGTGTAACCAAATTAGGTTCACCCTACAAGTTTAATATTGTGTTATGTTAATCTTGGAATGATATATTGAGCTACAGGGGTCCATATATCTTGTCAAGCACTAGTTTACGAAAGAGTTTTACATTCAAACATCTTGCTTTATTATTTTATACTTCAATATGCATTTCTCAGTTTTTAACCATAATATCATTATTTAATACTATGTTTCTACGATCCAATTGATTTGACAAAAGTCATGTTTGAGCCACATTTTTTTAAAAAAAATACATTCTTAAACAATGATTTGATATCATTTCAACCACACATTCTTCAATAAAATAATATTACACGCAAATTCAAAACTTTTCTTTATTTTTTAATCACACATTTCTCATCAATACACTATTCAAAAATGCATTTTAAGGAAAATAATATGGCTCAAACAAGGGCTTATAGTGTATTGTCAGTCCAAGGTCTGATTTTTTAAAATGTGGACCTATTAAAAGTTTGAATCCAACTCCACGAAATGTGTGAATAAAAAATAATAATATTTTCGAAATTTTAATTGAAATTAATGTTTCAGTGGAAATTACAAGTTAAATATTAGTCACTGCTTGAATTCAATGTGGAATTATCTTATATTCTCTTACTCCAGTGTGAAAAGATTGTTAAGAAATAAAGAATCTTAGGATCGTTTGATTAGTGTTTCACTTTTCAATTTTTGAGAAGATTTTCAGTTTTTTGTTTTGACGATCTATTTTAAAATTGTTAAAGAATTTTATTTTGTTTTATTTTATTTATTATTATTATTTATTTATTTTTAGAATTTATGTAAATTTTAATGTTTTGTCCAAGTATGCAAGAAAAGTTACGTGGATGTGAGAGCAGCCGGATCTACTGACTATGTAAACCATACAAAAATCGAGGTCAACAAGATTTACTTGTTCGCGAGTACTGCCAGAGCTGATCAAGTAACTTCCAGTAGCAGCAGCAGCAATAGGGAGAGGAACTCATCGTATGATCAGCCAATTTGTAGTCACACAGGATTCTCATACTTGTCAATGAAGTCACAAAAAGAAGAGCATCTCCTATAAAGATTCAGAAATCAGCTTGAAGGATAAACCAACGGGAACAAAGTGGAAAGTGGTAAGAGAATGAAATTTAGACTAGCGACAAACCTTGAGATCTCGAGGGTCTTGGACCAACTTTAAATATGAAGCCTATAAATATTTGAAATATATATACAATAACAAAAAATAATATTTTTTTATTAAATAAAAATATTCAAGCAATCCACATTCCAAATTTTGTGACTAACTTATGATAATGAATTTCCTTTCTTTCACACGTCGAATTTGATCCTTCAAAACTAGATCAAGAAACTTATTCATAACTCATACTTGAGATTGAATTAACTTTTCATCTCTCTTTCTTTTTATCTTTTTATGAACAAACAAATACATTCTATTAGACATATTAAAGTAATCAACAATTCAAAATCAATGAAGGATCAAACTTTAAGTAAATTGAATAACAATGGAACCTGGTCAGAAATTTTGCCCTCGTTTGATCCCCATTTTTTTTTTAAAAAATGAATTTTTAAATAGTGTTTTGATCCCATTTCAACCATACATTCTTCAATAAAATAATATTACATTCAAATTCAAAAATTTTCCTTATTTTTTAACCATACATTTTATATCAATACATTATTCAAAAATTCATTTTTTTTTGACAAAAATGAGGCTCAAACAAGGGCTTCATTCAGATAGACAAAAATTTGTTTCAACTATAAAACAATAATAAGAATTTATTAAGAAAATATTATTCAAAAAAAAAAAATTATAGACCAACGAGATAACAAAGAAAAAAGGGATGCCTACATGCCCCCATGGCACATCTTCAAGTGGTAAAAGGGGAGGATAGAGAAATCCAACTTTGCTTTAGGCTGCTGCGTCAAGGGTTCGAATCCTGAAATATGAATTTAGCTCCTGGATAAGTGCAAGTGTACAAGCAACCTTCCACCCTGTACCCTTGGAGGCATAATCTGCGATTTACCTCCCTCGCGATGCTCCAAGGCAGGAACGATGGGGGACCCTTAAGGTTGGGGTTCAATATTTTTTATTTTTTATTTTTAAAAGTGATGCGTACATGAATAAGGTCATTAAAATTTTTTATTTACATGGGACACGTGTCAAATTTGATTGGACAAAAAAAAGAGACAGCTGCACCTATCAAAATCTTTGTCTACTAACCTTGTCCAAGCAGCATTATACTAAGAAAAATACCATTAATTAAATACACTGGCGGACCCACATGGGGTCATGTGGGGTCAAATGACCCCACAGTTTTCTGGAATTTTTTTTTTTTTTAAGAAAATTTAATATATGATCTTTAAACATTATAATTCGTCTTGGTTGAAAGGCACTTTTACGTGTGTAAGATCTATTCATTTTTCTTCAACCAACTAAATAGCTTTGCATACTTATAGTTAATTAGAATCTATTTGTCCCCCATTAAAATTACAATTTATTTTTCTCACTATTCCTATCAATTACACATTTTTTAATAAAATAATATTACATGTAATTCAAAATCTTTTTATTCCTTTACAACAAAACATTTAAAAAAAATACTATTTCAAAATACATTTTTGCCAAATTCTCATTATAGTAAGGGCCAAACAAGGGCTTAATTGCAGAAAGGAAGATAAAAACATCAAGTACCCATCTTGAGACTAGTTTGGAAAACTATATATATAGGATTGATATTCTAAATACTAAGTTAAGCACCAATGCCATAAAAGCAAAAATATCATACACATCAATATTAATGTCAAAGACTGTAAGTGTAAGTTAGAGAATTCACAGAAGGTTGAACATGGTGACGAGGAATTAAGGATGACTAAACAAGCACGGATAATTAAATAAAGATTGCAAGGTCAAAAAAAATGCAGAGTTGGCCTAAAAACGAAAAAAATGAAAAAAGAAAAATCATGAACATATTAAAATTCTTTTTACGCTTTGAAGAATATAAAAAAAAATTGAAATTTTTTCTTTATTATTTATAAATATAGCCCCCGTTTGAACCACATTATTGTAAAAATGAGAATGAAAAATATGATAAAAAGTCATATATGATGGTTTGATATGATGGATAATGATTATATTTTTTATTTTAATGAGAAAATAATGGGGTTCAAACGGAGTCATAATATATATTATATTTTTTTTATGTGGCCCTCGTTAAGATGTGGTTTTAGGCGATCTCATACCTAACGTATAGTCAGGGATGGACCCATCCGTTTTGAGTTGTGGGGTCAAAAATTAGAGTTACAG